GGTGGTGTGGCAATCTCTATATCTGTACAATCTATCACTACTCTACATGAACCAAACTGACTAAAAGATGATGGGGCACACAGCTTGTTCTTATCCCTAGATGGGATGGATGCCATGAGGTCAATAAATAGAATTGAGTGTAAGACATGAATGAAAGTTGTTACAATATTTGCTATTGTAGATACACTGCAATTGAATAACTGTGCAAGGTGAAGATTTGTGTAATTCTGTCTGACTTTCATTAATGTTATAAATATTTGTTCTTCAAAACTGATTGATTGCACTCTCCAGCCAGCAAAGTATTTGATGAATTGTTTAAACCTAGCTGCATAGTTGACAACAATTTGAAAAACTTCCTTTGTTGGCAGCCCAGTTTCCATCTTCAAAACTTCCTCACTCATTGTCGAAACTTTGTAATGTTTTTACACATAATCATTTTTTTTCTCTTTGATCAATCATTTCCCTTTTTGCCTGCTCCAACTCTGCTTCCAGTATAACTTCTTTTCTTGTTGATTCAAGTCTCTCCACACTGCCAGAGGTGCCTTGTTCAAGTTCTTCTTTCTTCCTTGCAGCTTCTATCATTTCTTGTAGGGTCTGTTGTGATTCGATTTTTTTCTTTTTTGGCTTTGCTTCTTCTGCAGGGAAAAGTTTGTCTGTTCCTCTTGAAAATCTCAGGATCATTACTTTTTTCCTTTCTCTGAAATGGCAACTACAGACTCTGGAATGTTTTCCTGGCTCTCTGTCTTCTCTCCTATACCAAAAAGGTTAATTTTAGCTTTATAATTCTTTCTGATTACTGTGCTATTTGCGGAGGATTTTTATCTTGCAGCTTCTATCTTATAAAAATCTCTAATTAAGAAGACAGTTCTCTATCTGCCTGTTTTAACACTGCAGGGTGACCATTAAGTATCAACAACCACACCAAAAGCTCTCACATCTGATTTCCATCATTGAGTCAAATGTTGGCTCGTGGCTTCTAGGGAACCGATTTTGACGTTGGAGTACAAGAAAAAGGAGTCTAAAAATCGGTAAGATTTATATAAGCTTAAACAGTTTCATAACAAAGATGGCGACTCCACAACCGCAATAAATTGCGCAAACATACTTTTTTCCTGCACAGAAAAAGTATTGAAATAAGACTCTTACTAACCTCAGTAGGTGAATCCATCTTCTGTATTCCTTCAGCTTTTTTTCCTTGCTAGGGAATCTGAAGAAGCTACACGTGTGACTTTCCAAGTGATGATTGCAATCAGGCGCAAAGCAGTGCACCATTTTCATCGTTTCGATTGCCTTCGTTTCTCAGTTTTAGATTTCTATGACCTACAGCGTTAATAACAATGTAACTGAACCTTATTCTAAGCTTCTTTGAACCGTTCCAAGCGATGATTACACACTTGACCTCAGCAACACATAGGTTATCAGCAGGACGCGCTCGATTGATTAGAACAGAAATTTTAGCCCCATGGCAATGTGACATCACACTTTTGGACTCTATAACGTAAGTGTTTGTATAGAAGAATGGTCTATTCTTTTATTACATCCTCTGAGAATTGGAAGTGTGCATGTTATTAGTTATTCAAATATCTCTCACTTTTCCGATGCGTTTACATAATCAATGTGGTTATTGCTAAATTACATACCGTTGTTTTTAATTATATGCCGTTATTCACTTAGCCAACATGTGTACATATGAATAGTCATTGTTGTTGTTGTTGTTGTTAAATTATATACCGTTATTCACTTTATCGAAGCGTGTACACATGAATAAACAATAGAATGTTGTTCAATTATAAGGNATGGATTCTCGAGAGTTCTCAACATGGAGACGACTGCTCAGAGTGACAGCCTACATTGTTTGATTCTGCTGCAACCTCTGCCTTAAGTTAAGCCAGAAAAATGATAACAGTCAAGTACAAGCTGGTCCACCTAGTACAGAAGAGATTCAGGATGCCAAAGAATACTGGGCAAAGAAAGCACAGACTGGCCTTTCAGGTAGAATGGAGAAGGGAGACTTCAAAACACTTAGTCCATTCACTGATGAAAAAGGCATCATAAGAGTTGGAGGTCGCCTCGATCTTAACCTATTATCCTATGATGGAAAAAGTCCAGTGCTTTTAACCTATCACCATTGGATGTCCACACTTGTCACCCGTGATGCACACAGAGTAGGTCACCCAGGTGTAGCTGCAACAATGGCAAAAACCAGAAGAAGGTACTGGATAATCAAAGGAAGCAATCTTGCCAAGGTTATTAACCCTTTGACGTCCGCCCCTTTAAAAATCGTTCCTCCAGGAACGATGACGTCGAATGTTGTCATGGATACCAAAAATGCATGTGGTCGATCAAAAACATTGTTACAATCACTATTGTGCTTTGGCCAATCATAAATCAGCATTAAATATACAGTGCACATGATTGGCTAGCTGTTAGAGGCCGATATAAAATTTTCGTAACGCAAGTGCTTCACATTTCAAAATGGCGTCAGCTAGCAAGAGAGCGTATGTTCGATTTACTGCGGAACAAGTGAGAGAAATAATTGAAAACGATCAAAGTGAGGGAGAAAGTGATATAGACAGCAATAATGGTGGGTTATCTAGTGGAGAGGAGTTTGAATTGGACCAGGAATTGCAAGAAAGAAGCGACGAAGACTCGGAATCAAGGTAAGCGTGATCGTAAACAATGCCATGTGAGATGACGCCATGGAATTATAATGGTGAAAATGATGCTTATATTACGATTTTTCAACATAAAAACTTTAAATTATTGTTAAAAAATATCACCAGTATGTTGAAGATCGAAATAAATAACAATTTACGGCAATTTTACTTGATTTTCTTTGTAATCATAATAGACCATGTGCCTTTCTCGCGGGAAAGAAACTTGACACCTTTCACACAAACAAACCTATGAGTTTTGGACCTTGTTTCTTACATATTTTGGACATATTTTGTGTTTTATTTTGTTTCTGTAGTTGATCATAGTTATGATAATATAGTGTGCTTCAAAATTTAGGAAATTTATAAGATTTCTAATATTTGTATTTATCAAATTGTAATATTTGTGTATTTTTTTCTGAAATTTAGCTCTCAATACGAATCATTGGACGTGGAACAAGACCTTGAAGTCCCAGAAGCTTCAGAAAATGATGAAAGCTCTGAGGGCGAAGAGCAGGAACTTGCTCAAAGACCAAGAGCAGGAAGAGGAAGGGCTAGAGGTAGAGGTAGAGGTAGAGGACGACCAAGAGGAAGGGGTCGTGGTCGAAACAGAGTAGCTCCCCAGGCTAACAACCAGGCACAACAAGCCGCAAACGACTATGATACTCCTGATACACCAAACCAATTGCCAACATTTTCACCAAATAGACAATCTGGTGTACATTTAGAAGGCCCTATTCGAAGAGGAAGCATGTCAAAGGCAATTGATTTTTTTAAATTATTCTTTACCATGGAACTGATGAGGGAGATTTGTGAACATACTAATGCATATGCTTGGGCATCGATATCGAACAAACCATCTTATGGCGACAGGCATGGAGCATGGATTGAAACAACCACAGAAGAACTATACAAACTTATTGCTCTGATTATGTATTGTGGACTTGTAGATGTATCTTCCTTTCAACGCTACTGGAGCACTAAGACATTGTATCATGGGCTTTGGGCACGGAGTATTATGTCACGTCTTCGATTCAAGGCCCTTATGTCCATGATTCATGTAGTACACCCAGGAACAGAGGCTGAAAATGATAAGCTGAGAAAGGTTAGTAGCTTCCTGGACCATTTCAAAAGCAAATGTCAAGAACTTTATCAGCCTTTTCAAAGAGTTTCGATTGATGAGCGAATGGTCAAATCCAAGCATAGGTCAGGAATAAGACAATACATCAAAAACAAACCAACTAAGTGGGGCATCAAGCTTTGGGTTCTAGCAGACAGTGCCAATGGATATACGTGTGACTTTGATGTATATATTGGGAAAAAAGCTGGTCATGAGCCATCTGCAAATGGATTAGGGTATGATGTTGTTTTCAGGCTTATGCAGCCTCTCCTGAATCAAGGCTATCACCTTTACTTTGATAATTTTTACACATCAGTCAAACTCATAAAAGATCTGTTTGCTGTTGGTGTACCTGCTACTGGCACAGCTGCTGAAAATCGCAAAGGATTTCCTGATTGTATGAAAAAAGGCAAGGAATGGGCAAAAAGAGAGCAGCGTGGCAACATGAGGTGGCAAAGGGATGGAGTATGTTTAGCACAGCAATGGAAAGACAACAAGCCAGTTACAATTCTGTCATCCATTGCTGATGCAAATGAGTGGGTAATGGTTGAAAGGAAAGAGAAGGAAAACAACAGATGGCAAACAATAAGGGTAAAGCAGCCAAAAGTCATCGAAAACTACAATCAATATATGAATGGTGTTGATCGCTCTGACCAGCTACTGGCTAAAAACAATGCAATTCGAAAATGCATGAGGTGGTGGAAAATTCTTCTTTTCCACATGGTGGATATTGCAGTTGTCAACAGCTATATCTTATTTCAAATCCATCGTGCTGAATATCCAGAAAATGAGCTGCTCAAAAGACCACAGAGATATTCCCTTGCAGAATTTCGTGAGGAATTGGTACGGCAACTGGCAGGTCTGGAAGAATTTGGTAATCCCCCTGTGTCTGCACCACCAAAAAGGCAGCCTGGTGAATTTGAAACAATTCACCTACCAGAATTTACAAAGACCAAGAGAAATTGCAAGGTTTGCTACACTTTGCATAAGAAACAACTCAAGGTGCTATCGAGGTGCTCAGCACCCCAATGCCAGGTTTACCTGCATTGTACTGCAGACAAGAACTGCTTTTCCACTTGGCATTCCAAAGAATATCATAAATAGCATGCATATGTATACATATGTCTTTTGAACTTTGAATTTAGATTGATTTCACATTTTACAGTATACATACGGTTTTCGTAATATGATACATAGCAATAATTCATGATAATAATTATATAACCTATTATGCCATTGAAAACTATTTTTCCTTTACAAATGAACCCTTTTGAGAGATTTCAGTCCATTTCCAGTTTTATAAATGATGTTATCATAGTACAAACCATGCTAGCTTTGTGTACAGTCTTTATGTCAATATTTAACTTTCAGCACCATTTAGAAAAATTTTGATATCTTTGTCAGGATTCAATATAATCTTATGATTCTTTGTATATAGCTTTATCAAATAATTCTCTATCTTTTTTTTCTTGGATGATATTTTGTAATTTTAAAATAAATACACCTTTTTTGGTGTCAAATGTATTTTTGTGTGTTGCATAATCAAAAAAATTATTATATTTGTCAACAAAAATAATTAAGATTCTATTAAATTAATTAATTTTTTTTTAATTGACAATCTTCATTTAATAAGCTTTAATATGATGTATAACTTGGTAAGATTGGTTAGCCCTGCACTCAGTTATGATTTTTTAAATTGAAGTATATGAAAAAGGTTATTTTTGGGGCAGACGCCAAAGAATTAAGGGCGGATGTACCTTCTGCAGAGAGATGGAAGCAAAGGTGGAGACCCAGCTAATTGCCGCCTACAACCGTACACCCCTCCTTTCCTGTATGCATCATGTGACTACTTCGGACCCATCAAAGTTAGGGTTGGCAGAAGCAAAATGGCAAAGCACTATGGAGTAATATTCACGTGCCTCAACACGAGAGCAGTTCACTGTGAACTTGCTACCAATCTGACCACCATGGAATTCCTGCAAGTTCTGAGAAGGTTCTTCTCATATCGTGGTTACACGAAAGTTCTAATCTCCAATAATGGTTCNNNCATAAGTCGCACTGCCAATGCCGCCAGTAAACAGCAGTACTGATAAACTGTTCATACGTGTTATGTCAAGAAATTTACTGTTAAATACACTTCGAGAAAATATTTTAAAAGACTAACAAGTCATAATCATCATGTGCTCTCTAAAGGAGCCGTTTGTTTATTATCTGCAGTGCAACGTCGAACGTTCGAGATACAGGATTTTCCCTGCTGAATGCATTGTCTTGTTCTGGTAGAATTCAAGGAGGTGGAGCCACAAGGTCCTCTGTTCCGGGCTTGCAGAATCTTCGAATCTCGTGGAAGAGATACTGTTTTCGGTCTTGACTTAATCCTTCAGGGTTAATCATGGGTGGCAGCATGGATGCTGGCGGCAGGATAGCGAGGTCACTGTTTTTCAGCAGCGTTCGTGACTGTTCGGGAGAAGTGGTAAATTCTTTAAAGTAAACTTTTCCAGGTTCGTCTTTCGAAAATCTGAAATGATGGTACTTTTTAATGTTCGGCAGTTTGTTGAAGTACCTATCGAGAAATGAAGACCAGTTGTAAGCTGTAACAATGGTTCTTCCGTCGTGTGTACCAACCAGCTGTGCCTTGTTGACACCAATGGTGCTTGAACCCTCGACTATGTCTGCAAACTCATACAAAGATGACACAAACTGTACTTTATAAGATCTCTTGATTATCCCGAAGCAGCGATCGGGACCAAACTTCGTATGGCCGGCAATTAAGAAAGAGTAATTAATGGAATCATGCAACCGCAGGATCGTTCTCCATGCTAGATACCAGATAAAATAATTGTTTTTGTTCTGTCCCGAGCAGTTGTCTGCGTGAAGATGTGCCTGTGTTTCGCCAAGTCCGTGGTTTTGGAAATAGTGATGAACATAACTGATCGTGGTGTTAGCTCCTTTACCAACGTCACTCGCCTCCTCAATTAGATAATTTACTTGTCGGGGTATTGCTTTGCACATGACACCGAAAATTCCACATTTACGGGGTGTCTTGAAATAAATGGGTCCTGGCTGCATAGGATTGCTAGGAATATGGATCTGCTGGGCAAAGTCGAAAGAATAATGAACTGTTGTCTGCAGGGAACAGGCTTGGTGAGCTTCGTCCAAATCTATTTGGTCTTCAATCGTTTGAAAGTTGATTTTCGCTTCCTGGCAGACTCTCTTATATAGCTCTCTTTCCGTTTGAACACAATTCAGATGCTCGTGCTGGGCTCGAACGCACTCGGATTTTTCCTGGTCCGGAAGGTTAGCAGATCGTAGTAGCTTAGAGGTGTTTTGCTGGCAGGTTATACATAGGTCGGACATAGGTTTTGCTACAACAACGTCCGGGTGAAACTGCTGCCACAGATCAATAAACTTAGTGTAGGAGACCGCTTGCTTTTCAGTTTCTAGACATGCTTTTTTAAACTCGCGCCAAACAGACATTTTGGTATCACTCGATGAGAGCAGCTTGATGTCGTCATTCTTAAAACCTGGTATCCTGCCAGGAAGAAGAACAGCGTTTTCTTCGGCGTAATTTGTTAGAAAGCTTTTTACATCCTCATTCACCGCGTGCGGTGTCGTGTT